TTGAAATGCAGACCTTCCCTCCAGTTCTTCTACCCCCCATTTCTTATCATTTCTTATTTCAAATAACCTTTAAAAACACTCTACTACGATGTTATTATGTCTAACTAATTCCCATGCACATTCTTCCTCCTCCCCCCCGTATAGTCTAATTCTAACTCTAAAAGAAACACATGAGTTAAGGGGAAATTGGCTGCATCTTCATATATTGTCAAAGCAAGAACATCTGATGTTAGCAGTGATGATAACAATGTTTGCTGTCTGTTGCTGGCATCTCAATTCTGGCTTTGTATGCATTTGTTCTTAAGGCTTGGTCTTGTGCAGCCAGAATTAGTCCCAGATGAAGTTGTGTAAAGGCCTTAAGGGGTCATAGCTGCCACCCATCATTTTGCAGGAGCTGTGAGTCCTGTAGAATCTCCAAGTTGCATCGCACCCTTGAATGGTGAAATGCCCCCCCTCATCCAAAGTTAGATATGAAATATCTTCAAATCTGGGAAGCCCCAAAAACTATAGCACTTGGTCTAGTTAGGACTGAGTTGGATTTAACTTTCTGAAAGGGAACCTAAGATGTGATTCAGGGATGTAAATATTTTTGGTTGTGAAATTTGTTTGGGACTATGTTTATAAAGTGGTGATCTCATTCTAGAGGGCCAGTCCAGGGATAGAAAAGGCATCATTCCTGAGTCCTGATAGACCCATGTTTAATCAAAGGAACCAAGAGTGCATTAATTCTTCTAGAACAGTGGTTCTTAACCTTTTTAATGCCGTGACCCCCAACCGGTCATAAGTCGAGGACTACTCAACTGGTTGTAAGTCGAGGACTATTCAACTGGTGCAGCACTGTTTGCAGAATGGAACTTTTGGCGGGCTCAGCAGGGCAGAGACAGCCTGGACAATTCCTACTGGCTTTTGAAAGCCAATAGAATTAGACTCTATTCAAGAGAGTCTATTCTATTGGCTTTCAAAAGCCAATAGAATAAAAGGGAGTAGCACAGCTAAGGAAGAGGGGGAAAAAAATGCCGGACTGCGTTGTTTGGCGACCCCCGTGAAATAGTCGTTCGACCCCAAATGGGGTCCCGACCCACAGGTTGAGAACCACTGTTCTAGAATTTCTAGCCATGCGGAAAACATGACAGACAAGCAATAACCTAGCCTTATTAGTGCTCTGTAGATGATGACCAACATCTTGAATTACATCCCAAAGCAAACTGGCAACCAATGTCAGTCATGAAGCAAAGATATCAGCTTTGAGTGTCTTTCTAGAGCAACCCCAAGAACAGCACATTGTTGTTGCAGTGCACAAGTCTGTGACTAGGACATGGGTGACAATCTGAAGGCCTTCCAATCCATGAAGGGGTTCAACTGGAGCACCAGATGGAGTTGTGCAAAGGCCCTCTTGATACATCTACCATTTATTCTTTGATTCCAATATATTATTATAGGGGCAAATCTCTGTCTTTCTCATTCTCTCACACCTACAACCATGCACACACACACATATGTACACTGAGGACATGATGCTTTTATATAAACCATATAGACAGATGAAAGTGTCAAAATATTTTTAAAAAAAAAAATGTTAAAGAGATTGTAGACAAAAGGGAAATATTTTAGAAGGAATCAAATTTGTGTTTGCTTTTATAATTTAACATCAATTCTACAATTATTAAAGGGACAATGAGTTTATCACTGTAAATAGTGAGTAGACATCTGGCTCTCCAAACAGTTTAAATTTCAGCCACAAGCAGCCTAGCCAGCATGGACAATGGTTACCATTGCTGAGTACTGTAATTCAGCAAAAATCAAGAAAACATTAATTCAGAAAGAACTAATAGGTCTTGGTCTGATGAAGCATGGTAATTAATATTTTTATGTAAAGTCCAATGGTTATATATTATACCAGTATATATTAAATTCAAGCAAATTATTATAAAATCCGATTGAAAGGATTTTTTTTAAAGAATCCTAGCAGTAAGAGCTGCATAACAATGGAAACAGGCACTTATCCAGGCAGAAAAGAGGCAACAATCTATCATAGAGTCTTTAACTTGAATTCATGCGTGAAGCAAAATGTTCTATGTAATGGTCAAAAAGGCCTCTTCCAAGGCTATGATTCGGTAAGGGAAAAAATGCAAAATATGGCCAATTTTTAATAATCTGTTGTACCATTATGTTCGCTTACATACTGGATTCCATATGTCAACAATGACATAAATCAACAATCATGTACCATGAACGCCAAGTGAATGTTGTAATTACTTCTCAACATAATTTTTCGGGGTCAACGGTTCAACTATGAAAAATGAGCACATTTACTTGACACAATCTATTTGGTACCTATAGTTTGACAGAATCAATAGTTCTACCAAACCATTTTGGATTGGCTGAGAATTAAAACAATCCTGGATGGATCCTGGTCTAATTTTATGGGGCAGGTGGGGAAAGGCTGATAAGTACTATCTTATCACTTTCCTCCTTGCCTGAGCATCGCCCAGTGTGATCTATTCTACCAAACTGCCTGACTTTGATCTTCCTGTCAACCACTAGTGCTACTGATATTCCAGAATAGCATGACCCATTAGTCCATCCCTTCTCTGGTCTTCTTAATATCTTCCCTTCTTTCCTGTTTTTCCCCGATGCACATCTCTAGAACAATTCCTATATGACTAATCCTACACTTTAGTTTGGTATGACTCAACTTTAGTTGAGTTAGATTCAAATATTCCCTCACCTGCATGGACAATAAAGCAAAGATTGACTTTCTATTTCATAATAGCCACTATCAGTTTTACAGAGGAAAAGAAAGATGAATTATTTTATTTTATTTATTAAATTTATACCCATCTAACTGTCCCAAGTGTCTGGAAAACTTTACGTCTAATTACATAATTTGACAATTTGAATTTTTTTTGCAATAACCTGCTCCTTGTATTTAAGCCACCAGCTCATTTTTTTTACAAGGTGTTTTCAACACGGAGCTTAGCTGTTCTCAGCTGACTTTGATATTGGGAATTTTATAAACATTAATGCTTAATCCATGAGCCATTCCAAATTAGCTATCAGAATTATAAAAATGGGCACCAGCTCTTTATCCATAAACTCTCTGCTTTATTCCTGTCAGATAGATAATTTAACAAAAAGCATGAAATATTTTGTAAATACAAATCACTGCTCATAATCCTCATCCCCCCCTCCTTCTGCCCTCAGTTTTTTGATTGGAGGATATTTGGATTGGCTTTAGATATTTCCTCCACTGGCAGAGAGAATATCCAGTGGGGGAGAATATATTGTTCTGGAAATCTCATTCTTTGCCCATGAAAGTCTTTCCAAGTATAGATCAAATTTTTTGGGTTACTACCAGGTGTGGTTTTCTTAAGTGACGGGGGATCTGCATTTTAAACACATCCGTTCCCACAAAGCCCCCTTGCATCAGCATAAATAGCATGAATTGTGTAGGTTATCATTATGGAAGACATGTCTGCAATATTGTTTTATACATAAATGTATCTTGCAATTGTACATGCACATTTATGTTGCCAGCCAACGTATCTCTAATATCATTAGAAGCACTCTCTTCTCCCCACAAGCTCTGAAATCTGCATTGTCCCCACCCTGTCCTTACTTAAACAAGTTCTTAAAACCCAGTTGCTCCAAACCTTGGGCTAGAGTGAATGGCAGAGCCCATAACAAGATGAGCGGTTTATTAGAAATAGTGTTATTTTTCCAGACCTGCTTTTTAATCCTTTGATTCTGTTTTTATATTGTTTGTAGCATCATGACTTAAATTGCGTACTGTCCAGTGTCATAGTGGGAAGCTTATCCTTTTTTTTACATCCCTCTTCCATTCTGTTGGAAGATTAATTTATACTTTTAATATCTTTTCATACAGGTTAGTTACTTTTTCTTACAGCCATCATTCTACTTTCACTTTAGTTTATTTACTTCACTTTCATGTATCTATATAGCTATTAGGCAGTGTTTCAGTCTTGTGAGATTTGTTACAACTTATTAGAAGCAGTATTAAATTAGAACAAGTCATTTTCTGTATAGTGAATTACCAGCCCAAGGCCTCATCTGTAAGTGTTACTCTTCTTCAATATGGTTGAGATTCTGGTTACTTGTTTAAAAATGAACTTATTTAAAAAGGATGCTTGAGCTCTGGAAGCACTTAAACTATCATTGGATAGTTTTGCACACAAATTATTTCCTAGCCTAATCCATCTTGGAAGATATTTTGGAATAAAATTGAGAGGGGAGGGAAAATAATTTTATAGTAGAGAAAAGATGAGGAATGAAATCAGACAGAGTTCCTTCACTACTGTATAATGCCAAATAGTTTGTTTCTTTTGAATTGGCCTAGCCTTTCAGCGGACTTTAATGCACACTTACATTCCTATAAAAGACAAAAGCCTTTCTCAATATGTGACTATCTTTCCCCCAGCACTGAAACAAGGAGGATAAATATGGGAACAACCCCACTTTTTTTTCTTTCAACAACCCTGTAATCCCTTGCATTGGGATGGAATTGAGGCAACTGAATGGAGCTGAGCATTTACTGGCCTGATGCCCTTCCTGATGTCTATATGAAGCTCACAGCAGATATTTTCTTTTTGCACCCAGAGAGACAAATATCTGCCACTAACTAAGATCAAACTCACAATGAGGTGTGAGCTCCATCACTAGGCCACCATGCCATTTATGGGAATAACCACAATGATTTACTGAAATTGCAATTTATTAATTTGTATGTGGTGGGAATATCGGGTTGGCTATCATTCTGAAGAATAAGTATGTTAAAGAAATTATGAATAAGAACTGATGACTGTATATTGCTACAAAGATGTACTTCATTTTGGGATATTACCTGCACAGAAGTATTGAAATACAGTACAGAAAGATCAAGATAAATACATAAGACAGATATACAAACCAATCTTTGCATTTGTTGGATGTATATACATATGCTCATTTTTGTGAGAAGAAATAGGTGTGTACATCCTTACCTTTTAAATGAGTCCATTATTAGCAATTTGTTCATCACTGCACCTTCAATCTCACCAAAAAAGTTTCCAGTCTGAAGCCAAAAGAAAATGCCCAGAAGTTTCAGATAAATGCAAATCAACACTGGTTACAATTTTATTCCTATAAAATGATCAGAAACTTTTTAACATCATAAAAATGAAATCCTGAAGTCCTTTGCTGTTGTAAAAATTGAACAGGGTTTAAATATCACAATGAATTATAAAGCTTACAAAATAATTCCTTGAGAGTTGTGAGAGTTTACATAATAGATTGCAGTTTATTGTGTAACATCTGATGCTGAACTCAAGCTTGTAAAGAAAATGCTCTAATCTTAACATAAACCCATTTGATTAAAGTTCTATTTCACAAAAGTATATATAGGGTTAGAAAGAAAATTCTAAACAAATAATAAAAAGTGTTTTCTTTAATAATTCCTACATGAGCCATTTAATGCTCTGCATTTTAGTCACACATATAAATATTTAGCTTTATATTATGAAATAAGCTATTTAGACTCTACTTATTACACTAAAAAGGAATTGACTAACAAAGATAAGTTTGAGATACGAAAACAAAGTCTTAAATTGTGAGTTTTCTGGTCAATCCCAAAGAGATTTGGCTAGGCTTTTCCCCTTGACATTCAAATCCCCCATATATGTAGCATATGTCGTTTTGCAGTATAGGAACAACCTTTGTTTGTTCCTTGAAGAAATAATCCCAGCATTTCTACAAGGAAAAAAGAATGTTGAATGTGTAGCGGGGCTGGCTGAAAGGCTTTGTGGGAGCCTGGCTGGAGAGAGGGAAGTGGGAAGCTCAGACAGCTGCTGCCGTTTGGGCGCGGCAGGTGTAGATATGGCGGAAGGAAAGAAAGGGGAAGGAGAAAGGGGAGTGTTATTGTCGGGGAGAGACCAGGTGAAGCCGAAGAGGAGTTTAAGTTTTTATGTGATTCTTTTCCTCGGAAATAGAGCGAAAGAGAGAGAGTGTGAGAAAGCAGAGTTTTATTGCTTTCTTTCGCAGGGGGATATATCGAGCGAAGGGAAGAGTGAGAGTGAGAAGAGGGAAAACTTGCTGGGGTTTTAAATTCAGGTTTTAACTAGAAAGGAAGGGGGGGATTTGGCATAGAGAGACCTGGGACTATGAGTGCCAACCGAAGAGAGAAGGAGAGGCTGGTCGCTACTGCTTCAGAGACCACTGGCCATCCGAACTTTGATCATTATCACCTGTGCAAGCTGTAAACATTGTGGGGAGCTGCCCTCATGGGGCGAGCTGTTGCTGTGGAGCACTGACTATCTTCGCTCATGTTTTCTATTGTTGCCTGGAGCCAGAGGGTCTCCCCCCCTGATTTTCAAAGCAGCTACTATAAGCCATTGACTATTATTGTCATGACTGCCAGAGGGTTGATAAACACTTCACACATTGACTGCCCTGGCTAAGGGCTGGTCATCTTTGTTCCTGTAACCTCTTTGATGACAAGAAACTGCCACCCCTTCACTCTGTGTGAGTACCCGCTAAAAAGGACATTCTATGGCTGCTGAGTGTAACTGAAAGGGTTGGTTAGGAGGGTCTGGGCTTTGGCTGCCTCTGAGGGGATTTTGCTACACATGAATTCTATGAAGTTTGCTTTAATGAAATATCGATATTGCTGTAAGTAATAGACTTGGCTTCAAATATGCACCTGGGAGTTTGCTGGCAAAGAAATTACAAGTGAGGCCCAAAACAGAAGAATTTTTCTGTTAAGAGCTCCCTTTTTATATCCAAATTATATGAGTGGGTAAAATTTGGTTCGAGCATTTGCATTTTATAGCTTGAACACATTCAGCTCTGAAGGCCTGTCTGAGAAATGAAGATTGGGGAGACCGGATGTCAGTTATCAAATAAGTCTAAACATGCCTCACTTTCAGAAGAACATAACCAAGTTACTAGAAAAAAGAAAAGTTATGCTTAAAATATACAAGGGTTATTAATCAACTTTAAGAGTTAACTTTCAACATAATATAGGTTAAATAATTTGAAACAAAGGGTATGATCAGTTTGTCCCATTATTAGGAAATATTAAAGTCTGTGGTTTGTTTATAATGAAACTGTGGAACAACTTTCTGTTTTACTTTAGCTAGATTATGTCCTAGAATTTTGTCTTCTACAGAAGTTAATTTGATCTGCTCAATTACTGTATATACAATACAACTAATTTTGTAGAGTATACAATTGTGCTGCTTTTTCAGTAACCCATGACAGAGGATGTTTATAGAATTCCCATAAAAGGGAAATGGAAGCAAATTCCATTATTTTTCAAGTTATAGTCCTGTTTCCATAGATTATATTCATAAGTGGAATTCAATGTAGTTTTTCCACTGACAGAACTTTTCAATTACAGAATCACCTTCATCAATGCTCAAACTCAGTTGAGTTATATAACTTTTTATTAATTTTGGAAAAACAGGATAAATTCAGTAGAGAAGAAGAAATAAGATATCTATTCATTAGTGTTTGATTGTCTGCATCTGAAAATATCTGATTACCCAATATATTTTTACTTACTATTCAAGAACCATTGTTTTATATGGCTCTGTTTACTTCAAAAAGATTAAATGTTACATTTATCATATTTAAAGTTATCATTGAGGAGATAGAAGCCATTATAGTATAAACATTGTTATGTAGTTAGCTGGAAGCTTGACACTAAAGAATCATCTGGTAACATCTGTTCTGGCTGTGACATTTTGTTGAATGGCTTACTGTAAATAGTTAGAAATGCTTATGCCTTTTAATAAAAATTGTTAGTCAGAAAAGGGGCTATCAGACTTCTGATATTTCACAAGTTTTATATAATTTTTATTGCTGAAAAACTTCAACTGAGGGCTGTATCAGGTTTGGCTAAAATCCAGATCATGTACTATCTTCTACTTTTACTTCCTTTTTTAATATTTTAATTAATCCTGTAAAATTCTATGCAATTATCAACTGCCATAACTTGCTCATATGTTCAAAATCTAAACACAAACATTTCTAAAATTTGGGCAAAAGGCTTTAAGATAAATCCATATTTAATATGTCTTCAGGCATGGTAGACATGTCTGAAGAAGGGGTTACATACAAAGTTTTATGAGTTTAAATGCAGAGCCATCCAATGAAAATACATTATTCCAGATCATCAAAAAGGGAATTATTTTAGACCCTCTGAAAAGAAAACTTCATGCTTTGGGGCAAGCCATCTTTTTAATATTCTTTTCATCTCATGCTAGTCATTATTTCTATATACCACTGGGAAAAGGCATCGCATAACATTGGATTTTTGAGAAGGCAAGAATCAGATTTCTACTTACCTGCGTGTAGTCTTCTGAAACTAATATAAATCCATTATTATCAATGAGATAACAGTTAATATTCTGTAAAGTCACAAAAATGTTTGTAAGTCTTTGATTTCAATATTGTATTTTTCAGTTAAGGAAGAAATAATATTCCTGTTTTGATTTTAAAAATAAAGCTGTAGTGCAGTAACTGAAGAAAACTTCTCTGAGATTCAAGAGTATATCAATGTAATGATCTTGGAAAAAGGAAACTGGAGAAATGTGACAAAGTGCAAGAGTAGAACACAGATATTATAGGATTTAATCCACTTGTTTCATGAAGAGGAAGGAAAACTGTGTACAAAGAAGCACATTTATGAGATAAAAAACTTTAGATACCAGTATGTACTAGAATATATATAAAAGGTTTCTGAAAAGAGCCAAAACTGTAACTTAAACAATAAATGCACTGTACTTCTACATTTTTCTAAACCAGGAAATGACAATTGATACTGAAATTCATAATTCTTTCACATATACTTTTAATTGGTGCATTTTAAATTTATACCGACAGATCAAAGTTTTTTCTCAAAAGATAGACATAAAGGTAGTTAACAGAATATTCACTTGAAAAACATGTATGTGTATGTGTGTGTGTGTGTGTGTGTATATATATATTGTCTGAAAAATCAGAATAAAAGTATCCTCTCAAACATTTTTCTTCCCAACATTCAGATTTGGAAGTTTGAATGAAAAGAACTTTATGTTAAAAATGCTACTCATTGAAAAGATATTGGCTGCCACATTAAAAGGCAGATTAGTTCTTCAGCAAGACTAAACAGTAAATCATTTCCTGAACTATGCCACTTCAGGTTTTGGTTAAATTGTGGTGGCATAGTTAAATATTTTTCCATCAAATACATATACACACAGTCAATAAAAATATCACATCAGGGGGAAGACTGGAGTAGATTATTTTTCAAACGTCAATGATTTTTTTACACTAAATATTTTCCTTTTGGAAACATTCAGATGTGATATAGCACAGTCCATATTTACTACATCCATAGTAAATAGACCTTAGTTTCGAACAAGCAAATACTCAAGGCTAATTCTCCATGTCATCTTCTAAAATTACACCTCAGTTTCATAATCATGCATCAGTCTACCCAGTAGATAGAATATCTTTTCTAAACAGACACTTATTTGTTTCATTTTAGTATAAATACATACTTTGCATAATTGTCTGCAGTTTCATTGCTAAGAAAAATTGGTTGTGCATGCAGGAAATATCTTGCCTACCTCATCATCACAGCTTATGGAACATCGGCCATCAAGGGATGTGCACTGCAGGATGAGAAGATGGGTAGCACTGAACACAGGTTTAGAATTTTCATCTTCTAAATGCAGAGAAATCTGTAACTTTTAGATACGATGTGGTGTGCAATAAAATGAATATTTTTTTGTGTTGGATTCATAAACCTTTATGGTAACAAGGATCAATTAATTCACTGTTGCAAAATAAGAAACTGAGTCAACCCAAAAGTGCTCTATATTTGAACGCAATGAATATCTCTCTGATCTAAAAATGTTTTCAGACATTTGGAAGAACTGTTGGAAATGAGAAATAAATCTGAGTCATACACATTTGGTGATTTGTGCACCAAATTTTGAGTGGGTTCTCTTGGCACTTGTGTTAAATTCAACTCAAAAAATAAATCCTGGCTCATTAGTCTGTTTAAACCTAACTTCATCATTAACTGGCAGAAAATGTTTTGGTAAATAAATTCCATCATGTAGCCACCATCATCAAAGGATGGAATTTATTTACCAAAACATATTCTGCCAGTTATATTTAACTTGCAGAAATAACAGATTTTGTCAGATGTTTTCCTGATTCTCTCCAACTTTATTGCTAGCCAGTGACACAAGGTTTTTAAATATTCAATAATAACATACCTGTCTACTGGCAGTCCAAAATTTCCTTTGGAAAAACTCCAGTTTCATCTGGATACCTACAGCTGATTGAAATGATGAACAATAGGTATTTTAAAAGTTGTTTTCATACAGATTTAAAAGTCCATTTTTTATAATCTGAAAAATGTAAAACAAGAGCATGTAACTATGCAATTCAACATCAAATAAAAGTGGACAACGAAGTGGGCACAAATAAACTTTAACAAATAGATTTTCGATCTGAGGGGGTCAGAAATGTAAGTAGGGATTTGGGTAGACACAAAGTTCTTTACCTGCTATTAAACATCTCTGATTGATTCATTCTAACCCCATTTGGGAACCTGGTTGGGATTCTTTAGAAAGTCTTTTATTAAGGAGCCCTAAATAATTCTATATTAATCCTAATGTCTCCAAATAGGAATCTAGATTTGCATAGCTCTGAGCAATACCTTGGAGTCAAGATTTGATCCTAAAGTGGTTTGTATTTCATTGCCTAAGAAAGGTCTTCACTATTTTCTACTATAACTCATGGATAAACCAAGAATTTTAGGCCCCAAGCTGCAGCTCCAAAACTGGATTGGTTTATCCATGTATTGCATCAGCAGTAACACTTTTTTTAAAGTATTATATATACTTGAGGACAAGCCAAATCAAAATACCATGAAAAATATGTCATCTGCAGATAAGCTAATTGTGAAAATGTAAAACAAAATATGAAAATGATGTCCTTCAGAATATATTCAAAAGGCATACAATTTTAAGTCAGCTTATCTGCAGGGGACAAGTTTTTCATAAAGTTTTGGTTAAAAATTCAAGGGTCAGCTTATTCTCAGCCTTGCTTATCTTCTTTAAGAACAGTAACTGAAGTATAAGTGGCCTAAGAAATAAAAATAGCAAAGCATTTTAATTATGTTTCTAATTATGTCAATTACTGTAGAAGAAACATTCCCTTTATGTGGGCTGGACTCTTATTTTATTGATACATCCATGTTGTTTCTCTGCAGAAAAGTGGAAGTGGTTTGTTCCCTTGAATTTTTAAAAACTGTCTTGCTCATAGTTGCTAGCAAGGATATTGCACAAATATATAAAGGGGTAGGTCTTCCATTAAACATTCATATCAGCCATCTTGCCCCTCGGTCTGCTCCACTGCAGGTGCTTCTGAGTCCTAGTAATGCTAAGCAGTCTCCCATCCAAGTACTAACTAGACCTGATCCTACTTAGCTTCCAAGCTTAGATAGGTTTCGGGAAGAACTATTACTTGCTGAGACTAACTAATGAGCTTATATAATTCTTTTGAAATAGTAACCCTGAAAAAAAGTTTAAAACCTGGATTGGGCTGTGCAAAACTGTTCATTAGAATGGGGTAAAATGAGAACTATTAGTTTCTTACTTTAACGATTGGTTTGGTGCTGTTTTAAATGGATTACCATATATTCCAGCGTATCGGGCGACCCGGCGTATAAGACGCGCCACGAGTTCGACGCCGGGTCACAAGACGATTGACGCCGAGTCGCAAGATGATCGACACTGAGTCACATGCCTAGAAAGTCATCTTATACGCCGGAAACTACCAGTATTTACAGTATATAAGACAATTGACGCCAAGTCGCATGCCTAGAAAGTCGTCTTATACGCCGGAAACTACGTTATTTCCGGCGTATAAGACAATCAATGCCGAGTCGCATGGCTAGAACTCATCTTATACACCAGAAACTACCTTATTTCTGGCGTATAAGACGAATTGGCATATAAGACGACCCCCGAGTTTGGAGGCTGTTTCGACGCTCTCAAAAGTCGTCTTATACGCCAGAATATACGGTATGTAGGAAATCAAATATCAGGTAGAATCTTTTAATCTGTTCCAGCTTGCTATTATTCAGGCAGAACACCTGTCATTTCAGTGGGAATTTTATTGGTTTAAAATAGCATGACTAGATTTATCTCTATTTTCCCAGGTGTGCAATCCACTAGATATCTTACACTTTTTGCACATTGGACACAGATATCATCAACTTAACTATAGTATTTGGGATGCAAAACTGAGACTGTGGACTCAAAACAATAGCATGATCAAATAAATGTTTTGTATGATATTTTGATGGTAGAAAATAGGGAAAAAAATTCCTCCCACATGAATTTCATTGGGTCAATGAATAGATTTGTTTTAGAGGAAGAGAATTAATTTTTAATTCAAGTAGCTACACTGGGATGTAGTACTAATCTTCTTTCAAATCTCAGAGATAAACATATATAAATTTTATATAGGAAACTGTATATAAAGAGTTGAAGTACTTGAATTGGTGTATTATTTTGTTCTCTACAGTAAATGTTTAGATGATATCATATTCTAAGGACTAGTCAAATATATTTCAATCTTTTTGAAGTCAGCATCTGAAGTAAATGGATGTCCCCAACACTCTGAAATCTAAAAAATAATGCATTATGAATTTATGTGTTCCTGCCTTTCTTCCAGGAATTTGAAATTCTTACAGAGGATTCTCCAGGCATTTTATTTCCTATAATAACAAACCTGTAAGGTAGATTAAGCTTAAGTGACTGGTCCAAAGCCACCTTGTCAGTTTCCAGGGCTGAGGGTGGACTGATTCCCTCCACTCCTAACCAATATTATAATCACCTCACCATCCTTATAACAAAATAAAATGAATCATCAAAATAGAGAGCTCTGAAGGATATTTTACAACAATTAAGCTGCCTTTAATGCAGTTTAGAAAGCAGAAGCCTGGTACAGTGACCCTTCAAGTTACTGGATCAGTTGGGGGACAGGGTGTCCGGTTCAAAGAATCTGTTAAATTACAGCATAGAGGATTTATTCAAGCCTATACATAAGAATCTGGTCAACTAAATTGGCACCAGGTAATGGTCAACTAAATTCAAGAGGGATTGGACTTGGACCGCTTGTGGAAACCCAACAACTCTAAACTGAGGATGCAATTAATTCTTCTCCCTCCCAGCTCTGTTTGCTCTTCTCCTACACAGAAGTACTTATTATTCTAGTGATCCACTAAACCAGGGAGTAAGGCATCCATAATTACAGCTTTACACAAATGATACAAAGACGCCATTTGCATATTTTACATCAAATGTCATTATACAGTTAATGTACACAACTGATAGAAAATAAAATAGCAATACTGTCCATAGTATCCAGACACCATTGCACTGAGGCCCCATTAAGTGAGGTTTCCTTATACAATTACAGCCCATTATTATAAAGCGCATATACACATTTATCTGAAAATAAGTTCCAAATTGGTCTGCAATACAGAGGGTTAAAACAAAAACAAAAAACACTCTCCCATGCATTTCCTCCTAATATTCTCATAAGGGAATCAGACAGTAGTTAAGCAGATAAATGCACATTTATTACAGTCACACACACAAACACAAATCAGTCACAGATATGGGCCCCACATCTTCTGTGTACAAAAATGAGGAAACATTTGTTCCTCTATTTTTAATAAGGATGCTGACATGCTGATATTTATGGAGGAGATTACCTGTTAAGAGATATACAGAGTAAATTCCTTAAAAGCAGCTTATCATTTGTTATCATTTTCCACTGTTAGGCATTTCTGTATTTAACATTTGTACAAAATATGTGGCATTTTCTAATCTCTGCAAAGGATAGTACAACTCTATTTTGTACAGTGATCTTTAGTGCTCAATATAAACATAAAGTACTTACTATATTGGCTGAGAGCCTGCTGGTCTGAAGTACTCTGCTCTTTCATTTTAAGCCATGTTAAAATACAAAGTCATTAATTAAATCCCAGAAAGATGTTGATGCAAACGGCAATGTTAGGATTTTCTTTTTTATAATCTGAATTCATTTTATGGCCTGTCAACATTTTTTTTAAGATTAAGGCAGTTGTATTTGTAATTAATTGCAGGTGTGCCAGGTAAGGTTCCATTGATGGCCATCATTAACTTCAGAAGTTATATAATAATCACCAGATCCCAGAAAAGCTCCTGATCTTGAAATTGCTTTTTACAGTATTTCCCTGAAGCATTAAGAACAGAGAAGCATAAGACCTCATCCTGGGCAATTGGTTAAAGGGGGTGGCTTCAACCATTTGGCGTCATCAACAAAAATGCAGTAGGTTGTGTGTTACTAAAGTGCATGTTTTTCGGCTTCTTTTTCAAATATTATTAATTTGGTATATTTGTACTAAAAAAAGGACCCTGTCTCCATAAATGAAGATCCAACCTCTTTCTGGATTGAGCAGAAAGATCTAAAAGAGGGTTCTAAATTCAGATAATGAACAGCTGGGAACTCTGATGCCAAGAAAACATGTCCCTTGGTTCTCTATTGCAGGGGTTCAAAGATAGGTTCCCTAAAACCCACCTTAAGTTTTTTGCACTTTCACCATTCACTGGAGTAAATTGTATAATTATAATATTACCAGTTTATGAATTCATACTTTCACAAACATTCCACAATATTTGTACTTACATTTTAGCCTCTTCGTTTATACCTTTATTTCCATAAATAGAGTCTATTTCATCTTTCCAATTTTCTTTGATTTAGAGTCACAACATAACTATTTTTCTTTCATTTCATTTATTAATTCATTACTCCTCCTATATTTGACATTGCAGTCTTCATTATAAGATCATAGAATGTAAAGGTTGGAAGAGATTATGGAGTTCATTAATCCAGCTCTCTACCTGGCACAGGAACCCACTGCTATGACATTTCTGCAAAATGGTCATTTAATCTTTGCTTAAACATTTTGAACCAAATAAAGCCATATCTTCCATAAGCAGTTGGAACATAATAGCTTTATTTAGTTCAAAATGTTTAGTTGAAGTTGAAAATGTTACCTGATGTTCTACTGAAATGTACAGCCTTGTCAATTAATAAGCTTTCTAGAACATTGATGGTTAATCTTTTGGGTTCAGCGTTTCAAAAATTTGGGAAGTGCTTAACTTGATTCTGCTGATGTGTTCTCTCTTCCCCAACAGAAGAGAAACAATCTTTTACATATTTATTTATAATTCAATGCACACAAACTCAAAAGCTGACATTAGACGATTGCTGAAAGTGTGCTCCTTTTGGAGACTGCCGTTACATATATCCATTGCCCTCGCCGCTTGAAAATGAGCTTCACTGTGCAAACAATCACCCTGTGGATTGGAAGACAACTGAACTGTGAAACTGTCTATCACATTTTACAGGTTGCTTTCTCTTTCATGTCATCACCAATCACAGTTCTGAAGATGACAGATCAGTGAAAAATGATGAGAATCCATTTTAAGCTTTGAGTGGTGCAGAATCACATATTTCTTACATTTGTATTAATTCAGTTTCTTTGGTAATTCAAACAAGGAGAATAGTTGTTGTCTGATGTTGATGAACACTGGCATGTCATCTAAAATATTATGACATGTCATCTATGACATGTGTGACATAGGCTTGTCACCACTGTTCTAGAACCACAAATCAACTACCTCTTCTACAAAGCAGTTTGTCAAATATGGCAAAGCAACTATGTTTCCACATAGTTGTCAAATATTAATTATCCCATCCCCACAAAAAGCAAGATTCTTCCCAGAAGTTTCAGTAAAACTTCCCAAATTTCACTGACAGAAAATACTTAAGATTTCAGAAATTTTACCCAGAGAACAATTTTCCTACATTATTGGATACCCTCACAGCCCAGAGATTGGCATTGTACTGTTTTCTAGATTGATTTATTCCCTCTCTGCAGAATTGGTCACCATCACTTGATTTATCTTTAGTGTAGAGGTTGAAATCCTTTCCTTTGTATAGTTTTTTTCCCAGTCTCCAAGGGTTATAGCAGGAAAAAAAAATGGAGCTTCATAAAAAAAATCATCATTGGGAAAATTCTAGAATCTATTCTGAAGCTTCAAAAAAGGGGTTTATTTTATAGGTATTCTTGTGGAAAACGAAAAGATTCTTACAAATTCCAGAGGGTTTTAGCAGAGAGATTTATTGCGCAGGTTCAGAAGCAATAGCAACTAGCAATTCTGAACCCCAAGGGCGGGTTCAGACTTCAGTTTTATACTTTCCTTTTCTCAGGAACAAAGGAATACACATTGAAATACACATTGTAATACATTAGGTTCATTTCTCACGGGTATACAATGGAGAGTTTGCTACATACATTGTATCCAAGTGCAATGCGCATTAGGTTAGTCACATACAGCACTATTCCAGTAATTATGCAGACACATCATTATTCTAGTGATTGTTCATTATTCCACATTAGTATGGTCCTTCTCCCCAACCTCCCCTAAGGATTTCCTATATTTGAACCAATTATTCTTCATTATCTTTAATGCAATGTAGGGTGGTTAGAATCTTTCACCTTCTTCTCCAGGAAGGCAATCAATCTACACTTAAAGCATATGTAACTCATAACATCTTCTAGGAAGAAAACAAAAGTATCCTCTACAAGAGCAGTTCTTTTCACTTCTATGTTCCATAAAGAAAGCAATACTAATAAACAACTCACCTCAGATCTCCTCTGCTTGGTGAGCTTGTTCTATGGAACATGACTTCTAGAGCTTTTCTGACACTGCTTGTACTAACCCAGTAAGAAGCAATCTGTAATGCCTTTTAAGATTCAAAAAGACCAGAAATCGATTACACATACACACACAAAAAAAAAAGATTAGGAGGGGATCTAGTACTGTAATTCCTATCTTTTGCTACCTTTAACTCAGCGGTTCTCAACCTATGGGTCGCGACTCCATTTGGGGTCGATCGACCATTTTACGGGGGTCGCAAAACAACGCGATCTGCCATTCCCCCCAGGGGGCGCCGCCGCGCATGCCCGCCGCACATGGGGGTGCCGCCGCGTGTGCCCGCTGCGCATGGGGGCGCCACCGCGCATGCCTGCCGCGCATGGGGGCGCCACCGCGCATGCCCGCCGTGCATGGGGGCGCGCCGCGCATCCTCACCACGCATGGGGGCACCACCGCACATGCGCACCACGCATGCGCACCGCGCATGGGGCACCGCCGCGTGTGGGGGCGCCGCCCGCATGCGCATCGCGCCGTGCATGGGGGCGCCTCCGTGTGACGGGGTTGCTGTCACACGAAGATTGAGAATCGCTGCTTTAACTGACTCAAAGATTTGATCTTCCTCATATACATAACTTTCCGATGCTCCATTTCTTGCTGTATCATAAAAGTACAAAACAGATATAAACAGAATTTTATTTTCTGACTGCAGAGTTGCTATATTTAAAGACACTGCATTGCAGAGAAAGTACATAATAATGTAGTAAAATCATGTTCTTGAGTTACAATTGTTGGCTTTTGAAATGGAGCTGTCTTAGACTGTGCTTACTGATTGTTGCAATAAAATCATCAAATCAATATTTCAACAGAGTTTCTCTATTCCTACCTTTTTAAACTATATGGACAATGGCCTATCTGTTTAATAAACTCAATGTGTTTGATGATAGACTGTTTTGTTTAAGGGATACTAACTGAGGCCACTATTTCCTAACAGTTTTACCAGGGAAAAAAACATTTATAGCAATGCTTTTATTCCAACAGACCTTCAAAAAATAATCCTCACTTTCATCCCTTTTAATCACTAAAGAACAGGAACCATCAGCACTGCCATTTCTTATCTAACAAAGCCTGCACTTACTACTCTAACAACAATACTGTAATCTCCTTTACTAATTGACAAAACCCATCTTTCTTTAGTACAATTTTTGCAGGCATGCTTCATCTGGAGTTCTTAAAAATGCCTACCCATAGGAAAAGTATGGAACCAGGGTGGTCCACAGACAGAGGCATAGAAAATCTGCTGAAATATAGATGTGTGGCATAGATGATGTATTCACTTCTAAAATCAGGAATCTGAAATAGTCATTTGTAACCCAAATATCTCCCCCCCACACACACACACCCTAATACACACTTCTATGTCTCACTTCTCCTACACATTGGATTTTGCACCAGAAAAAGAAATGAGTTGATTGACTGAAGCATCCAGATTAGAACAACCAAGGAACTCCCCTTCTGCATATTTTTGAAGGCTAAAATGAGTAAATTATCAGAGGTATCCCACCACCATTATGTCTGCAAACCATAACATCTAAGTATGTAGAGCAGAACCTTTCAAGATAGACCACTGGAGCTGGGTCGCTAATAAATTCAAATACATACATACATACATACATACATACATACATACATACATGTTAAGTGATTAAGTCATTCTATAAGTCTTTAAAGAATTGAATATTTTGCTTTAAAGGCTTCACTGACATCTACATCTTTAAGAACAGCTGGGATTCACTGCCACTGTAATTATGGATTCAGTTCAGTGTGATCTGATCAACATCATGAGAAAGTACCTCTCCAATGTGAAGGATTGATTGAAAGATGGATAGATATAACAAATAAGGAATACCTAATTTTTAATCTAGCTTTCTTTCAGAAATTAAAAAAATGCTAAATGATCAGTACTAATTACCTCCAACAATTATGAAATAAAAGTTATTTTATAAATATATTTTTTATATTGGAATACTTGAAAATACATGCTATTCCCACAAGCTGCCACACTTATTTTAATGGCCATATCAAATGCTCTGCAAATTTTGTGAAGGATTTTTTAGCAAGATTTTGGGCAACCTTTAGGGCTGGCTTATATAAAATGCTAAACCAGGGGTCTTCAAACTTGGCCCTTTTATGACTTGTAGACTTCAACTCCCAGAATTCCTCAGCCAGCATGAA